ATTCTCACTACAATCTCTGAGGATTTTCTTCTACAAATGCGATTGATAAAAAGATGTCAGAGAATATTACATTACCTTTGATACCACTTCCACACACTCGAAAGGTAACGTTTAAACTTGAATTCACGTCCAGTTTGTAAACAAAGAAGCCGTTGCAGTTCCTCACGAGTACGCTCACAGATGTCATGCAGCAAACTTGTGATTTGGAGAGACATACTGATCGTACTACTAAACCTTTATCTACACTTGGATGGTTACCCGCCAGCCATCCAGGAACGAACGTACCGCAGTGATCAGCGGGAACGCAGGTTGTAGCCATACGCGTACCGGCTGAGCCATTGTATGTAAACCAGCCCGTTAATGAGGTATCGCTGGTGTTAACGATGTAGTTGGTAAAAAACCTAGATCTGCTTGCCTCGTTTAAAACTGTATGGTTTGTGCACTCGATTGCTACAGAACAGGACAGAAAAAAAAACTAGCTAGAATGCTCCATGGCATGCAAGACCATTTTAGTAAGTACGATCAAAACCATCAAGCATCTTGGTTCTCTCTCACCAACTTGCTTAAAACCATAAAAAAATCGTTTCAAAGAAAATGAATTTTTATTTAACTGGCGCAGCACCTTCAAGCAAATCACGGCATTTTCTCTACTGAGAAGAAATACCAGTCTGCTTTCGATAATATTGTTCAAGCGTTACAATAATATTCCCCGATTCCAGCAATTTTGGCAAGCCTAAGTAGTTTAGATCGTTTGACGTGTCCTGTGAAAAGCAGCTGGCTTCTACCTCTGTCAAAATGTTGAGTCAACTTTAAGGTACAATAAAAAGAATGGAAACAACGTTACCAGGATGAGGACTGGAAATCCCTTGATGGGAAGAAAGTATGGCCACAGCAAACAGTGCAATGAAGTGGTGCAGCATCTTAGCCAGTATGCATCATCCTGGGCAGTCTTATGAAATAAAATTGTTTTTATCAAACAGAGAGAAACATTACCTATACCTTTTAAAGTTACGAAACCTCTGTTTAAAGCGCAAGTACCTTTTTTACACGAAGGTAGATTTAACTAAGGTGTGCCGACAAGTTAATGCAGTACTCTTCTAACAGTTGTCTGAAAGATGTCAAAAGTTATGGAACGCAATGTTAATTTAGTTAAAACTCAACTCATAAGTTTACCAGATCAATACTTGAGGCCAACAGTTCCTCTTGAGGGTTTTCAACCAGCTTGTTCCGTGCAGTGCGACATTTATCCCTCTACAGGTAACAAAGCTCTATTTGTACTTGAGTGAAAAACTTCGTATTATATGTACCAACTATTGTAATAAAATATTTATAGATGTCTATATTAAAGCTTGCTACTTATAATTAGAAATTGAGCTGTTAAACGTATAAAATATAAAGATAGGTCACGAAACAAGTGCAAATTGATTTGAGTCTCTTGATATGAGTAAAAAGCTTGTTTACGTGATTAAACTTCAAGGTTTCAAGACTTTCTTTCGCAATACTTTGTTCGTAATATAAAATTCGCTAAATTTTGGTATCGACTTTGTTTATCAATTTTCGTTAAAAATTCATATCTCTATATAATTGATATAATTGACATTACCGGCTTAAGGCAAAATTGTGCGGCACGATTACAGGAACCTATCGATTAAAACTCAAACGCAATTTCCCCAAACAAATATCCACAAACTCCGGGGAACAGTGAAATTTTCTTATTCCGCTTCATACGTAGGCTTCGATAAACTAC